CCGTGGACCGCTACTTTTCCCCGGAGCATTTCCTCTGCCCTACACGAGACATTCCCAGTGGTCGTGGACTGCGCGCCGTGGAATCACACGTGGCAGAGAAAGAGGATCTCTGTCATGCGTGATAATCTCGACGTAGTGGAAGCATTAAACAAAGGTCGCTCTTCTCACCCAACATAATGTCCCCTGACCATTTCAACCTTCATCTCAAACATTCAAAGATCAAAGGCGCCTGCAACACAATAATAGCTCGCTCCGACACATCTCTCTGCCCCTACAGGTCCATGATGCGTTACACTCGCCTCCGCCGCAAAAAAGGAGATTTTAACGGACCTCTATTTCTCGCTCCAGTCAACCTTCCCATAACAGCAACCTGGTTCAGAGCTCAGCTAAGATCCCTACTGCTCCTCTGCAATTTGTCTCCCCAGCTCTACACAGCCCACTCCTTCAGGATAGGCGCTGCCACGCGCGCGGCCTCGCTGGGGCTCCCCCACACCTCTCTGCAACAGCTGGGGCGCTGGTCCTCTTCGGCTTTCTCCACCTACATCAGGCCAGATGCGTCCGCTATCATGGCAGCACAACGTCTACCGGCTTCCTCGTAAGCTCCCTGCAAAGCAAGTAAGCAATAAGATTCTGGTGGCAGCACGCACTTTCCTCAAACGCTCAAAGATTCCCCTGCTACAGCAACTGGCTGAACATGCGCGTGCGCGCATGTCCTCAGCTCGCTCAAAGATTCCTCTGCTTCAGCGTCTGGCGAATATGAGCATGCATCTCATATTCTCAGCTCGCTCAAAGATTCCCCTGCTTCAGCATCTGGCTGAATATGAGCACGCTCATATTCTCAGCTCGCTCTGCCTAAACAAACACGGGCCCCAGCGGACGCAGCCTGGCTGAGCGACCGTGCGAGAAGCCTCTCACTCATGCTCTCAGGCCCGCGCAGTGCGTCCTGCTATCCCAATCGCAGGCCCGCTTTTTGGGGATTATGCACGCGAGCAAGGGCGCCAAACATGCTCAATCAATAAACATGCTTAAATCTAAGTCTAACGGCATTTTCCTCATGGGTCTCTCCAAGGTGAAATGGAGCTTTCGCGAAAGTTCACTGTGGTAGACCCGGCTGCTGCTGCCCAGGCCACAGGCTGCTCTTCCTCGACTCATCAATACCAGCAACGCCCACATCCAGTCAACCAATAACCACCAGGACAGCAAGTTAAAAGCCGGAGACGCCCACTTCCCGGCCTTCTGAAGTCTGCAAGCCTCCGCCGCCCCACCTCCTCCTTCTCTCATCGAAGCGTGCTTGCCTACTGCCTCTGCCGTCACCAGTGCCTAGGCCCCGGGGGGGATTATGCACGCGAGCAAGCGCCGTGCTCAACAGCATCCCTCCCGGGCCTAGGGCGCCAAACATGCTCAATCAATAAACATGCTTAAATCTAAGTCTAACGGCATTTTCCTCATGGGTCTCTCCAAGGTGAAATGATATTATATCAATCAATCAATCAATCTTTATTTATAGGGCGCTTTTCCTGCACAGGGCAACACAAAGCGCCTCACAGTCCACACCACACAATGCACAAATCATCACCATTAAAATACAATTAAAAACACATATGTAATTAAAAAGCATTAAAATCACATAAGTAATTTAAAAACATAAAAATCACACAAGTAATTAAAAACAATAAAATAGTTAAAAACACAAAAAGTTACAACAATAAATAACAAGGTGTGTTAAAAAGATAAAATTCTCTAGTTGTATGCACGGGAAAAAAGAAAAGTCTTTAACATGGATTTGAACATTGACAGAGAGGCAGCCAGTCTCACATCCTCAGGAAGACCGTTCCAGACTCCAGCTGCATAAATCTGAAAAGCAGCCTCCCCCTGTCTAGTCCTGACTCTGGGCACTAGGGATGGGAGGGGCTGGGATGTCAGCGGAGAGGGCTGCATAGCGGTTTGACAGGCTCAGCACATGGGCCACGGCGCTGGATGGCTCCTCGCAGTCCGCAGGCTCTTTATTCCGAACCGGGCACTTAGGTGTAGAACAAGAGGGCCCAGAGCTGACAGACCTCTCCCACACGACAGTGTCACAGTATGCAGCGCTCAGTGACATAAGCCGTGAGTGCTGCCCGCCAGCGACATCAAAAAGTTTGGACACGAGTGACTGTTTATCCTGCAGCTCTGCAGTGAGGCGAAGGACTTCTTTACGGAGGTCTGCAATAGTGGCACGGTCCCTCTCACGAAGCTCCAATGTGAGGCGACTAATGTCGTTCGTGGTCATTGCAGTGTCACTTTCCATGTCTGTGGTGCGCTCGTGGTAGCCTCCGAGCTAGCGCGTTTCGATTTGGTCTTTGTGTTAAAAGACGTAATGCTCTGGAACCATTGCATTTAAGATAATAAAACACTAGAGTGTACAAAAGACACTAATACACCGTAAAAACGTGTTTAAAAGGCTTTAAAAGGCTTAAAAGGGTAAACAGAGCAGAGACGTCAAAACGCGTGCTCACTCCACACCCTATGTGTCCTTATGTGTCCCTACAGCCTCAGTCCTGGGTCCACAGCCTCAGTCCTGGGTCTACAGCTTTAGTCCTGGATCTACCAGGACTAAAGCTGGTCCTGGTCCTAAGGCATTTCTTAGAGCCTCTAAGAAATGCCTTGCCTGCCTCCCACAAGGTAGAGGCACAAATCTCTGGTGTATCATTCAAATGACTAATTCCCATTGGTCCTCCAAGTATTTCAAAAATATAGAGTCACTCAGAAGAAAGGGATTCAAATGCCAACGCCTTGATGAGGGATCATGATAGGGTGGTAATAATTCCATAGATACAGATGAGTGGTCTGATAGGACACATGGATTAATGGAACAGAGCTCGGCCCTATCAAGAATGGATCTAGAGACAAATAGAAAGTCAATTCTAGAGAAAGACTGATGGGGACGTGAAAAAAAGGTGTAATCCCTAACACCCGGGTTACAAATCCTCCAAGCATCAAGAAGACCAAGATCAGAGCATAACTCGGATGTTGCTCTCCCCATTCTGGTTGGAGGCTGTGTCTTAGGTGGATTGTAATCGCTCACCTGATCAAGGCCACAATTGAAATCACCACCGATTATTGCATGGGCGGGGCATATGGAGGACACGTCTGCTAGAAATGTTGAATAAAATTGACTGTCATATGAATTCGGTACATACACATTTCCTATTAATATTTTTTCTCCGTATAAAACACCAGTTATTACAATAAATCGTCCCTCTTCATCTTTTACAATTTTATCAACAGTAAATGGTAGGTTTTTGTGGATAAGTATTGCCACTTCTCTACTCTTTGAGTTAAACGAGGAGTAGTAAGTCTGCCCCACCCAGTCCCGCTTTAGTTTAGAATGCTCAAGGTCAATCAGATGGGTCTCCTGTAATAATGCAATCTGCACCTTTTCTTTTTTTAAGTAATTTACGCCGCTTAATAACGTGATTTAGCCCCTTGACATTTAGAGTTAGTATCTTTGTGTTACTCATTAAGGATATTGTAATTGGACGAGGACCGGTGCTCTACAGTAAAATAAATAAAAAATAATAAAGCAAATGACCTTAGACTAGCTGTGCTGGTATGAACAACACCATCATTCATTTGCCAAAGAACAAAAACAAACACATGAACCCATATAAAAAAGAAAACCACCAACATCAAATTCCACCTAAAAAGTGGTGTTTTTTGCATGGATTTTCGTCTGCTTCGACATAGTTCTCCGCATCAGTGTCAAGAAGTTTAAAAAAAAGTTGTTGGGTAGCACAATAAAGTGTAAAATTGGTAGTCGTGTGTATTACAGCGTAATAAGGGTGGTTAGGATCGGGAGCTCAGCAAAGCACGTCCTCTAGCCAGTCATGTCCACCCGGAACCCCTCCATGACTTGTTTTGATGTTTTTCTTTCGTCAGTACGTGTTGGTTACTCATGTCAATCTAAATCTATAATTTCCCATAATCCACCTCTCCCTCTGCGCCTGAGTCTGCACCTGCCACTCTCTCTGCTTGTGTTTGGTGTTTATGAAGTAGACGTAAGTAAAGTCCGGGATCGCGTCACTACAGATTGCAAGTGTGTTATACAGCAGGAGGAATGCAGTCCTCCAATCAGCAGCTGCCACAGTGCCATGTAGCTTGGCCTTCAGAAGTCAAAACAAGGGAAAGTACTGGCTTCTGCACATTGGTAAAATGATGAGTTTAACTTTAACAAAAGTTGCTTCATAGTATTATGAAATCTCACAGTTACACAACTCTCATTCAGAGTCACCACTTCCACGTCCTTATATGGTCGCAGAGCAGTCACCTGAGGCTACAGCCCTCGTGTGTCACGAGGAGAGCAAGTTTATTTGTACACCACAGATCACTCGAGGCAAAGAAAGTGCTAAACAGACAGAAGGGATTCGAATCACAGATAATCACAGTGCATTAAAAAGAGTAAGTCCCAGCAGGAGGCCAGTCCCCGTGCTCCTCAGAGTCCCAGCAGGAGGCCAGTCCCCGTGCTCCTCAGAGTCCCAGCAGTAGGCCAGTCCCTGTGCTCCTCAGAGTCCCAGCAGGAGGCCAGTCCCTGTGCTCCTCAGAGTCCCAGCTGGAGGCCAGTCCCTGTGCTCCTCAGAGTCCCAGCAGGAGGCCAGTCCCTGTGCTCCTCAGAGTCCCAGCTGGAGGCCAGTCCCTGTGCTCCTCAGAGTCCCAGCAGGAGGCCAGTCCCTGTGCTCCTCAGAGTCCCAGCAGGAGCCAGTCCCCGTGCTCCTCAGTCCCAGTTGGATCATACAGCACTAACATGTCACAGATGTAAATTAAGGCACACATGTTTTTATTGTGCATTTCTCTGGTTGTGGTTTGAAAGTTACAATTAAGAGATCCTTCATTTGTCCCACAGTGGGGAAATGTACATACCTCAGCTTTAAGTTTCTCACACTGTTCAGTCTAAACATTTTAAGGGAACGATGAAGAAATGAGAAAAAAGGTTTATTTAGCGACTAACGTGTCAAAGCAGCGTCTCACATGAGCTGGAGAACGCAGGACTCTTTCTGCAGAGCGCCGTGTGAAGGCGGCGTGCGGTCACCGTGCCCAAAGACGGTGAAGTGCACGCTCAGGGGTCCAGCAGAAACACGTCCTCACAAACACAACAGATGAGTCCTCATTGTGAAGCAGAGGTCACCAAACGTTGGATTGTTCACCCACTGATAGGCAACGTGAGCTGGGTTCAGACTGTTAAAAAACAAAATTATAATCTGTAGTTTACTTTCTTTTCTCTTCAGATCTTAAGGATAATGTGCATTAGAAAAACAGAACACTGACACGCCCTGCTGCAGGTGACTGCTGTGATCAGTCTGACAGCAGGGGAGGGGAGCATGACATCATCCCACAGACAGAAAGGAACAAATAAACATCAATCAATCAAATTTATCAAATGTATTTATAAAGCACAATTCATACAGTGTAACCCAAAGTGCTTCACAAGCAATAAAAACAGTGTATATGCATATAAAATATTGTAAGTTAAAAGTTACGAACATTTAAAAAATAAATACTTCAGATTAGTCATATGCATACCTGAATAAGACAGTTTTCAGCCTGGACTTAAACATTGCCAGGTCGAGGCCTGTCTCACAAGCTCAGGGAGACTGTTCCAAATTCTGGCTGCATAAATTTGAAATGCCGCCTCCCCATGTCCAGTCCTGACCCTAGGCACCAGCAGGAGGCCAGTCCCTGTGCTCCTCAGCGTCCTAGCCGGCTCATATGGCGCTAACATTTCTCGAATATACTGTGGTGCGAGGCCATGAAGAGACTTATACACAAGTAGAGCTGCTTTAAAATCAATTCTCTGAGCCACAGGAAGCCAGTGCAGAGACTTAAAGGTATAAAGGAGGATTTTCCCATATTTTAGGAAAGAACCGCCCTTTCTACTTTTTGAACAAAACTCTCTGCTCTTATTGGACAAGGACGTATAAACAGAATGATTGACATTTGGGAGGACCAATAGTGTTGATGATCCACCCGGAAGTAAAAAATCCTCTTGGATACCTTTAAGAACTGGACTAATATGGTCGACTTCCTTGTTCCAGTCAGGGCTCGAGCTGCTGCATTTTGAATGTACTGCAGCTGTTTTACAGCCTGTTTGGACAGACCTGTGAGCAGGCCATTGCAGTAGTCTAACCTACTGGAGACAAAAGCATGGGTAAGTCTTTCTAAGTCAGGTTTAGACACAATACCTTTGATTCTGGAAATGTTTTTTAAATGATAAAAAGCCACTGACGTTATTGAATTTATGTGCCGCTGAAAATTCAGCTCTGTGTCCAGGACTACCCCAAGATTTCTAACCTGATTTGCAGGTTTCAGGGAGAGAGACTGCAGGTAACTGGTGACAGTTTCTCTTTGCTTCTGAGGTCCAAAGACAATTGTTTCTGTTTTATCCGAATTAAGTTGCAGAAAATTGCTTTGCATCCACACACCGATACACTGGATACAATGACAGAGTGAATCCAATGGTCCATATTCTCCTGAAGTTAGTGAGACGTAGAGCTGAGTATCCTCAGCATAATTGTGGTAGGAAACATTTTCATTGTGAATTAACTGGCCAAGTGGTAACATGTAAAGATTAAATAACAGAGGTCCTAGGATTGACCCCTGTGGTACTCCACAAGTCAAGGCAATGTGGTCTGAAACACAATTTCCAATCTCAACATAGTACATTCTATCCTCTAGATAGGACCTACACCACTCTAGAGCCATTCCAGAGATCCCCACCCAGTTCTCCAGTCTCTGTAAAAGGATTTCATGATCCACAGTATCAAATGCTGCACTTAAATCTAATAAAACTAGCACTGAGACTTTGCCAGCGTCCGTGTTCAAACGTATGTCATTTACCACTTTAATTAGGGCAGTCTCTGTGCTATGGTTTGGTCTAAAACCAGATTGGAACACATCAAATGAGTTGTTTGATAATAAAAATCTCATCAGTTGTTGATAGACAACTTTTTCCAGAACCTTAAGGGGCGTTCACACCGGACTTAACTTCGGCGTCAAAAGCGTCAGGTTTCCATTGAAAGTGAATGGTGAAGCGCGTCAGGTGAAGCCGAGAGCCCCGGCGTCACTTGACGCGCGTCAAAAGCTTCAAGAGTCGCGCGTACTACGCGCTCACTTGAAGCTTTTGACGCGCGAAACGCTCGCGTATCACAACAATCCCTTTGACGCCGAAGCTGAGCAAAGCTGAGCTTTTGAAGCTTTGACGCGGGCTTCAACCAATCAGGAGACGAGGAGCAGCAGCAGCAGAGGGTCTGTCTCTGTCATGAAGAGAAGTCATGTATCTACTGCTGCTGTTTTATTGTCATTATTGTTATTAGTAATATTATTTGTATGAGTAGTAACATTCTGAGTAACAAAAATCATTGTATACATGCTGTGTAGTAAACGTAGTTTATTTAAAATAAGAACAGGCTGACGATGAGTCTGGCTCAGAGCAAGGCAGCTCCGAGCGGGCGAGAGCCGGGGAGAGGCAGGGAGAGGCGAGAGCGAGGCGGGGAGAGGCGAGCGAGAGCCGGCGAGAGGCAGGGAGAGCCGGGGAGAGGCGAGCTCCGGGGTTTGAGAACTCAGACTGGGCGAGTGACATGCGGAAGTACCGCTGAAAGCGAAACTCCTCCGTACGCAGCTCCTGGAGTAAATGACGGAACTCTGCAAACACTGCAGCCTCTCAAGTCTGTGGTGAACCCAGAACATGTTTTGTTGAAGCCCTACAACAACGTTATTTTGCTTTATATAACAAATAAAGGCTCGCTGCTCATTGAAAAATCCACCGCTGTCCTGACTACAGACAACAGAGAAGCTCCTCCCACCGGCGTCAGGCGCGTCACTCGCGTCAAAAGCTTCAAGCACCAAAATGACAAAACTATACCGGCGTCAGTTGAAGCGCGTCAAAAGCTTTTTGAAGCTTTTGGTCTGAACGCGCCTTAACTCACAAAAGGAAGATTTGAGATGGGCCGATAATTATTTAATACTGCGGCATCAAGGTTACTTTTTTTAAGGAGGGGCTTGATGACCGCAGTTTTAAGGCTCTTCGGGAATGTTCCGGACTCTAGTGACGAATTTACAATTCTGGTGATTGATGATAACAAGCTGCTTACAACAGATTTTAAAAATGTTGTGGGTAAAAAGTCAACGCTGCAGGTTGATGAACTCAGTTTAAAAATTATATCATGGATCATGTTTTCATTAACGGGTGAAAAGCAGGACAGCTCCAAATGCTTAGGTGGCTGTGCATTCACTGTATGTGATGTGAACTGAATTGAGTTTTTAATACCTTGAACCTTTTCTTTGAAAAATATTGCCAACTCATTGCATTTCAGTGTTGTGTTTAATTCTAATGGCAAATGAGCTGGAGGATTGACTAAATTGTTCACTGTTTTAAACAGGACACGGGATTTATTATCAGAGTTTCCAATAAGCTGAGAGAAAAAACTCTCTCTTGTTAAGCGTAAGGTTTGATTGTACTCATGTAATTTTACTTTGTACATTTTCTGATGGGCCTCAACCCTTGACTTGCGCCATTTGCGCTCAGCTTTACAGCATTCCATTTTCTTTGCCCTGACAGCAGGTTCACTCCTCCATGGCGCTTTTTTCTTATTTCTAACCATTTTAACTTTAAGAGGGGCAATGGTGTCTAATAGAGTCACAGAACTATGAGTGACAGACTCTAAAATGTCATCAACAGTGAGACAGGAGGCATGGTCAAATTGAATATGATCAATAAAAAGTGCACAATATATGCTTCCTGCTTCTGGTTCTACGGATAACTGCAGACCCAGAGTGGCTTGGGCGTACAGTTAGGTCGATGACGAACAGAAGTGTATCAGATATTTGCAACATCAACAACATTTAAATTTTGAATGTTAAACACCCTTGGTTGATCACTAGATCTAAAGTGTTCCTTTCCGTGATACTACACAGTTTGGGAATGGTATAATAAAAATCTGCCAGCTCTGCAAATCTCCTTTCGTGTTGTTCAGCGGTCATTGAGGTATAGGCGGATTGTCAGCAAAAGCATCTTGAAAATGGCGGCGGCACGTGCTAGGTCATGTGCTGACGTTCACGAGAAAAGGTGGTATTATGATAACTGGATTTGGTTATTATTAGCTTGTGCTGAATAGACTCATGTGCTCAGGGGATTCTCGCGGTACTGCAGACTGAACCAGTGACTAAATTCTCGTGGGCTTCCCAGAAATTTTCCCCATTGAACTCAATGCTAATTAAAAACAGCTCAACCTCAGCTGTAAAGAGAACATACAGCTTTAATAAAGATTCGGATTTTGGGGGGGATTTTAGTGTCCCATGTCATCCTGAACTTTTTTTCTTCTTAAATCCTTCGGTTTTGTTTAAATACACAGACTGTTAAAGTGCCACATAACTCTACTCGTCTGGTCTCGCTCTATCTCCCGCTCTGATGTAACTGCTTGATTGGTCACGAGCGGCGGCCGAGCCCTCTGTGCACGTGCGTGAGACCCGGTGTGAGACCTCACAAACACGTGTATTGGCGCAAGCATTTTCGGGAGGGATCATCCACTGCGCAGAACCGGGAGGAACCGACGTTGCCCAAATACAGGCGAGTTTCCCATAGATCTTTGCGAGTTCCAGGCGACTTCGCTAATCTTTCAGCCCCATGCTGTCACAAAGCACATGAGCACACATTTAATTTGAACAGGGCAGTTCAGTTTGATTGAGCTATTGCAGCAGTGAGGGAGAGGTCCAAGGATGGCGGAGTGAGAGGTGGTGCTTTAGCAGGCTCGTGTATCAAATCTTTTATTTGCCCAGTTTTCTACTCTAACAGATTGCAAAAGCCCTATATTTGTTCCAAAGCATTTTCTCTGCTTTTTTGTGATTTTTGTTTGTGATTCAAGACAGTTTAAACAAAGTTTTTAGTTTTGTCTGCTAGCAAAGATGGACCACGACTACAACTCTGAGGCTACCACATGAAAACCTTTTTCTGATGAGTTGGAAGTTGAAGAATCTCCTCTCAGTGAAGACATTCAGTTCTGTCCCAAAGAAGACAAAGTTAACTGGGACCACACGCCCATTAAAAGTAAAAAAAGCAAAGAGAAACTAAGGTTCAGGACAGCGGTC